CGTTAAACCCATCTCTCTCTCTCTCACTCTCTCTCTCTCTCTCTCTCTCATAAAGCTCGAGGTTACCACTGCACTGTACTTAATGACATGGTTCAGGTTTGTAGGCCTAGCGCGTGTTATCGCTGAACATTGTATACAATTATCTAAAACAGTTATGTCTAACGCCTTTAGATCCCTATCACATAATAACACAACTAAGGTGTCACGATGGGCTTTATGTCTAATTTACAATTTGCATCATAATCCGCTTATAAAACTTAGTTCATTATAAATTCAAAATGGTCACGAGGAGAGAGAGAGAGAGAGAGATTGGGTTTGCAAAAATAATTACGGAATAAGATTATGATATCTAACATTTAAGATAACATAAACATTTTCCCATTGGTTCACGAATCGTGTACCATAATGTGTTTCAGTGCGAAACGAGGATAGACATATTCGACAAGTCATGTCAAACGGTGACCTCATATTCTTATCTGGAGAGCATGCGCAATAAATACTGACGGTGTAGACCGGAATAACCAGACGCTTGAGATTGTCATTCGATTAAAACTTATGGCGTATTTCGCCGAATATAACCCATTTGAAATTGAGAGTAAAAAAAACGAAACTATTGAATGTAAATCAGTTTATATACATTCATATTACATTACCGCATCCCTTGCGACCAATTTGTATCAATTGCTAGGTCCCAAATATAATCGATTTAGCTCCTTTAACATAAGTCGGTTGGGGAGGTTCGGAAGTAAGACATTGACATAAAATGAGTGAATGAAATGTTGTTTAACGGCCTACTGATTCGAGAAGTGATATACAAAGTACATTTAAAGATACATTATGGGAGATTAGATAAAGAGCTGACAGTTCTCACTATAATAGATACAAAACAAGATAATGTAAAGGCATTTTGCTGAAAATTTCAGTCAAATTGATCAACTATGGACCGAAAATTAAGCGATTCAATTTCGGCCCAGCCTCGATCATCATTACTAAAGTCTGTACGATAAAAAGCATAGTCTCGATTATCCATTTCATGATTAAATCATGAATGAGTTGAGCAGCAAACGGGATCATAACCGGTAAATATAGTAGGCTAACGATGACATCGAGAGTTGATTATGGTCTGCCTATTTCTTAAACATGTTTTTTCTTTTTGGTTTGCGAATGTGGTTAATGGTGCATTCTGCGAGATTAGATAAAGAGCTGACAGTTTTTGCTATAATAGTTAATATGTTGAAAATTTCAGTCAAATTGCTTATTTATTTTTACGTTAAATTATCCATCACAAAATGTATTCAAATCCAATAAATATCGCAGGCTAATGATGGCATCGAGACTTGATTATGTCCCCGAGTTCACAAAGCATTCTCAGGCTTAAGTTAAGAATTTACTCAAAATTGTTTGTTTTATTTTAACTACATATATAGCCCTATTTAAAACTTTTGTTGTTTTAATGTATCAAATACATTAATAAGAGACTATGTGCAAAGTGTTGTGTTTCTGGATCAAAGATATTTCTCATAAACAGTGATTGAAAGTTGAGTAAATTCTTAACTTAAGTCTGAGAATGCTTTGTGAACATGGGGCCAGGCCTAAATAAAGACCTGCAATAGGCAGATTTAGCTCTTGAATAATGTATGTTTAAGACATACTACTGAAGAATAGTATGCTAATATTGGTGCAATATGTTGCTTTAATAACATAACGAAACGCCTTTTATAAATCAGAATGAAATAAAAACCCGTCTTGGAAATGGAAGCAATTCACCCTAATGCAATTTCTAAGGCATCATCAAACAAAAACAAAATCAAGACATTACTTCCATGCATTTTTGGGGGGTGGATGGCTGAATGGTTAGCGTGCGCGCACTGTATCATAAAGTCTGTCATTGAGTCAACTGGCGTGGTTTCGAATCCCGTCTTGGAAATGGAAGCAATTCATCCCAATGCAATTTCTAAGGCATCATCAAACAAAAACAAAATCAAGACATTACTTCCATGCATTTTTTGGGGGTGGATGGCTGAATGGTTAGCGTGCGCGCGCTGTATCATAAAGTCTGTCATTGAGTCGACTGGCGTGGTTTCGAATCCCCGGTTGTACGTAACAAGGAGTAGGGTCGCCTGTCCAACCTCGTGGGTTTTCTCCGGGTCCTCCGGTTTCCTCCCACTATGCGCAAGCGAATTATTAAAATAAAGTTAAACCATATGTTAGTCCCGAAATGACCTAGTTTGTGTCGAGTGGACGTTAAACCCCATTTCTCTCTCTCTCTCTCTCTCTATCTCTCTCTCTCTCTCTCTCTCTCTCTCCATGCATTTTTATAAGAACTGTCATATTATAAACATAGCCCCTGTGACCTTTAACCTTACGACCCCTATGACCCGCTCACTATAGGCTAATGTCTTACGTCACTCTAATAAAGCTTCCATCTTGGCACATGTGTTGATGTTACAAGAATTGTCATGTTTTTGTTTCAGTGGTGTGATAAAGGTGTCTGTGTAACCAATGCTAATGCTCCTCAACGATTTAGTAAGTTAATTTGAATTTTAGAAACGCCAAAATTATTGCGACTAGAATGCACAGCGTAAATAAAATGGTAATGAAATGAAATGAAATTGGGTTTAATGTGGTGACATGTTTTTCTTGGTTCATTTCGGGGGATCACAGTGGCTAAGTGGGTAGGAGGCTGGCTCGCTAGCCTTGTCAGTGATGCAGGACGGAGGGCCTCACAAGGACAGCTGTCTAGTCGTTCGGATGGGACGAAAAACCGAGGCCCTGTGTACACATTGGGGTGCACGTAAAAGATCCCTTGACATGTGGGCCGTAGTGCACTCTGTATGGCGTATGCCCGTCTTCATTAGCCCAGTTTGGAGTGCACAACTTCGTCTACTGGTCTTAAAATGTTATTAATTTCTTAAATATTGGATATTGGCGTCCAATATTTTCACAGTACAATAAAAAGATAAATATTGATTGAAATGAAGGCCAATTCTTGTTTTTAATTTCAAATGTTATGACTAGTTTTGAAGTAGATGTTTAGCTACTTTAATATTAGTAAAGGAATGAAATGAAATTGGATTTAACGTCCTACTCTTCTGCTCCGACTGGGCTAATGAAGACGAAGTTAATATTAAATCTTGAAGGAATCGAAATGAAATGGGGGTTTAACATCGTACTGTTCTGCCCCGACCGGATTAATAAAGACGGACATTCGCCATATAGTGTGCTATAGGGGATATTTTGCACAAACAGCAGAAATACGGCTTAGACCTATTCTTATTTCAAATGGCAATTGGGTTATTTTTCGTGAACGTCAATGTGTACACGGGACCCAAGTTTTTTGTCCCATCAAAACAACTAGGCGATGCCCTTGCCAAACCCTCCGTCCTGCATCACTGACAAGCGGAACCCGCTCCGGAAAATCCCTATGAAATTTTCCGAGCACCAGCGGGATCGAACACGCAACCCCCATCTTAGCGAGCCGATGTCTTGTACTGTTGATCTGTACTGTGTGTTATCCCAGAAGAAGGTGTGATGTTGGTCTTGAAAACACATCACTGACAAGGGGAACACGGTCCGGATGAACACGCAACCTCCATCTTAGCGAGCCGAGAAATTGATCTGTACTGTGTGTTATCCCAGGTGTGATGTTGATCTTGACAAAACATAAGTTTTCAGATAAGATTTAAGATATTATTAGTATTATTTTATAAATTACAGGTTTATGCCCTCAAGGCGATGACCCAACTGCTGGCTGCGATTCTACCCAATGTGCCAGTTACGGTTCGGGCAAACGTGACTACACATGCTGTGTTTCTTGCACTTCTGAAATCAGCCCAGAAACAAGTCTAATAACGTCACCTACAACAAGTCAAATAACATCACCTACTACAAGTCAAATAACATCACCTACTACAAGTCCTATTATTGAACCCGTAAGCGACATAACATCACCTACAACCAGTCCAACAACATCACCTACTACAAGTCCAACAACATCACCTACTACCAGTCCTACAACATCACCTGCAACAAGTCCTACAACATCACCTACAACTAGTCCAACAACATCACCTACAACTAGTCCAACAACATCACCTACTACATCACCCACAACAAGTCCTACAACAAGTCCAACAACATCTCCAACAACAAGTCCTACAACAAGTCCAACAACATCACCCACAACAAGTCCTACAACATCACCTACAACAAGTCCTACAACATCACCTGCAACCAGTCCAACAACATCACCTACTACAAGTCCAACAACATCACCTACTACATCTCCTACAACAAGTCCAACAACATCACCTACAACGAGTCCAACAACATCACCTACAACGAGTCCAACAACATCACCTACAACTAGTCCAACAACATCACCTACTACATCACCCACAACCAGTCCAACGACATCACCTACTACAAGCCCAACAACATCACCCGCAACAAGTCCAACAGCATCCCCTACAACATCACCAACTACCAGTCCAACAACATCACCTACAACTAGCCCAACAACATCACCCGCAACAAGTCCAACAACATCCCCTACAACATCACCAACTACCAGTCCAACAACATCACCTACAACTAGTCCAACAACATCACCCACAACAAGTCCTACAACATCACCTACAACAAGTCCTACAACATCACCTGCAACCAGTCCAACAACATCACCTACTACAAGTCCAACAACATCACCTACTACATCTCCTACAACAAGTCCAACAACATCACCTACAACGAGTCCAACAACATCACCTACAACGAGTCCAACAACATCACCTACAACTAGTCCAACAACATCACCTACTACATCACCCACAACCAGTCCAACGACATCACCTACTACAAGCCCAACAACATCACCCGCAACAAGTCCAACAGCATCCCCTACAACATCACCAACTACCAGTCCAACAACATCACCTACAACTAGCCCAACAACATCACCCGCAACAAGTCCAACAACATCCCCTACAACATCACCAACTACCAGTCCAACAACATCACCTACAACTAGTCCAACAACATCACCTACTACATCACCCACAACAAGTCCTACAACAAGTCCAACAACAAGTCCTACGACAAGTCCAACAACATCTCCAACAACAAGTCCTACGACAAGTCCAACAACATCTCCAACAACAAGTCCTACGACAAGTCCAACAACATCACCTACTACATCACCCACAACAAGTCCTACAACAAGTCCAACAACAAGTCCTACGACAAGTCCAACAACATCTCCAACAACAAGTCCTACGACAAGTCCAACAACATCTCCAACAACAAGTCCTACGACAAGTCCAACAACATCACCTACTACATCACCCACGACCAGTCCTACAACATCACCAGCGACCAGTCCAACAACATCCCCTACTACAAGTCCTATTATTGAACCTGTAAGCGACATAACATCTCCTACTACTAGCCCTACAACATCACCCACAACAAGCCCAACAACATCCCCGACAACTAGCCCTACAATATCACCCACAACAAGCCCTACAACATCACCCACGACCAGTCCAACAACATCACCTACAACAAGTCCAACAACATCACCTACTACATCACCCACTACCAGTCCAACAACATCACCTACAACTAGTCCAATAACATCACCCACAACAAGTCCTACAACATCCCCTACGACCAGCCCAACAACATCACCTGCTACAAGTCCAACAACATCACCTACTACATCACCTACGACCAGTCCAACAACATCACCTACAACTAGTCCAACAACATCACCCACAACAAGTCCTACAACATCCCCTACGACCAGTCCAACAACATCACCTGCTACAAGTCCAACAACATCACCTACTACATCACCTACGACCAGTCCAACAACAAGCCCTACAACATCACCCACGACCAGTCCAACAACATCACCTACAACAAGTCCAACAACATCACCTACTACATCACCCACTACCAGTCCAACAACATCACCTACAACTAGTCCAATAACATCACCCACAACAAGTCCTACAACATCCCCTACGACCAGCCCAACAACATCACCTGCTACAAGTCCAACAACATCACCTACTACATCACCTACGACCAGTCCAACAACATCACCTACAACTAGTCCAACAACATCACCCACAACAAGTCCTACAACATCCCCTACGACCAGTCCAACAACATCACCTGCTACAAGTCCAACAACATCACCTACTACATCACCTACGACCAGTCCAACAACATCACCTACTACATCACCCACGACCAGTCCAACAACATCACCTACTACATCACCCACGACCAGTCCAACAACATCACCTACAACCAGTCAAACGACATCACCTACTACAAGTCCAACAACATCACCCACAACAAGTCCTACAACATCACCTACCACCAGTCCAACAACATCACCTACTACAAGTCCTACTACCAGTCCAACAACATCTCCAACACCAAGTCTTACGACAAGTCCAACAACATCACCTACTACATCACCCACGACCAGTCCTACAACATCACCTACTACAAGTCCAACAACATCACCTACAACAAGTCCTATTATTGAACCAGTAAGCGACATACCATCTCCTACAATAAGTCCTACAACATCACCTACTACATCACCCACGACCAGTCCTACAACATCACCCACAACCAGTCCTACAACATCACCTACCACCAGTCCAACAACATCACCTACTACAAGTCCTACTACCAGTCCAACAACATCTCCAACACCAAGTCTTACGACAAGTCCAACAACATCACCTACTACATCTCCCACAACCAGCCCTACTACATCTCCTACAACAAGTCCTACAACATCACCTACTACATCACCCACGACCAGTCCTACAACATCACCTACAACCAGTCCAACGACATCACCTACTACAAGTCCTATTATTGAACCTGTAAGCGACATACCATCTCCTACTACAAGTCCAACAACATCACCTACTACATCTCCCACAACCAGCCCAACTACATCACCCACGACCAGTCCTACAACATCACCCACGACCAGTCCAACAACATCACCTACCACCAGTCCTATTATTGCACCTGTAAGCGACATAACATCTCCAACTACAAGTCCAACAACATCACCTACTACATCTCCTACAACAAGTCCAGTTATTGACCCTGTTCGATATGTTGTCCTCGTGTGCACAGATGAATCCAATGAAAGTAACTCCAATGAAAGCAACTCTGACGACGGAAACTCCAATGAAAACATTTCCATTGAAGACATCAATAAAAGCCAAGGGCCATTATTGAACCCTTTAAATAGGCTTAGATTCTGGACTTGGTAGCCTTCTACTACATGTATTAGATTGTACCTGAGTACATTATCATTAAATTACAGTGAATTCCTGAATTGGCCCACTCCTTGTAAAGTCTTAGAAGTCTATCACATGCCCCAAGTAGGGCTTACCTTATTGAAATACGTACTCTACTTGCTCCTGCATAACACAAGAAACCTTAACATTTGCTGTAAACTTTTCTGTACTTAATTCACCACCCCTCCCCATTGAAAACTGCACCTGTCAGTACACACGGAAACAATGATAGGGAGTCACGGTGGCTAAGTGGGTAAGACGCTGGCTCGCTAGCCTGGAGGTCGGGTGTTCGATCCCTGCATTGGCTGAGAAAGGTCCGACGTGGTTCCCCCATGTCAGTGATGCAGGACGGAGGGCGTGACAAGGACAGCTGTCTAGTCCTTCGGATGGGCCAAAAACCGAGTACACATTGGCGTACACGTAAAAGATCCCTTGACAGCTGGAATTCGATATACGAGTAGGCCGTAGTGCTGCTGTCCGGGCAAAATTTCCCTCATAGCACACTGTATGACGTATGCCAGTTTTTATTAGGACGTTAAACCCCATTTCATTTCTACCATTTGAAATCGGCGGCAAGTTCTGAATTTGGACACAAAATAAGCAGTTCAATACCGTTTTACTAAACTTTCTCACGCTCAAGCTTTCTAAAGTTTCAATTATTCGCCAACCATACAAACGCAACAGGGACTCTTCTCGCGCAGTTTTAATCCCATCATTTGTGGATTATTTGCGGACACACACACACATATTAGCGTGTTTACAGTAGGTCCAGACCTCTTGAATCTTTTTAAAACCGACACCTTTGCCAATTCCATACAATCTCGTTGTCGTGGCTCATCCCTCTATGTCATGCACAAGGAAGTCTTCGCGATCTCAAGTTGATGTTCCAACAACCAACCTTGACCTTATTATCTAGTTGCGTTTCCTTGTCAGACCTAAAAACCAGGTTGGGCATCTTTTGCTTTGCCAGATGCAACAGTAAAACCAAGCGGCCATTGTCATGTCGAGACAATAAACACATCGGCACCCCTACTCGCCTTAGATGTTTTTACATTATCATCTTAAAGTTGTTCACAAAATAAATCTATGCATTTCTGCTTATTGGCATACTTTGATACCCTCCTTTTGTGCATGCTATCGTTTGGAAATGGAAGGGTTTCCCTTTCAGAAAGAATCAAGAGGATTCGAAAATCACTGTGTTTGCATGGTGGGCGAACAAATTAAAACGCTTGTATACGAGAAAGTGTAGGGAAAAGAAGGTGAATAGCTTGTCAGAACTTGCCGTCGACTCCAGGTGTTGCAAAGTATCATGATTTCCATGTATAAGCAGGAGCAGTTGTGGATGGGGAGAGCGCCATGAATCAAGCCCATAAAAGAATTTAAAAACGATTAGCAGATTAGAGAGAGAGGGTTAAACGTTCATTCGACACAAACTAGGTCATTTCGGGACTAACACAAGGTTGGATTTTATTTCAATAATTGGCTTGCGCGTAGGGGTCTTTAGCAGTGGGGGAAACTGGAGGACCCGAAGAAAACCCACGAGGTTGGACGGGCGAACCTAACCCTTATCACGTACAACCCGGGAATCAAAACCACGACCGTTTACTCAATGGCCTACCTTAAGATACAGCTAACCATTCGCCCCCCCCCCCTCGCTCCGCCCGCGCCCGCAAAAGAGCTGACAGCTAGCTAATAATTTATCAGAATGAAGTAACATGTGGTTTCAACTGGGAGTATCTGTCAATCTATTTATGTATATAATTTAAGTTATTGTATAATTGTCGTTGATAAATAAATAAAGTCAAAACCTGAAAATATAAGTGTGCAGAACTGTTTATATTACAAGAATATTGTTGAACGACGCATGCTCGCGTCAAACTTATCTATTTCCGGGTGGGTTCGAGGTTTCAAATGTTATATTAATTTTTATTTTGACATTTATTGAAATGTCAAGGCTATAATAACCTCTCTAGAGCATCAGAAGAGTCGTCCCATCCGGCTGTTCTTGTCAGGGATCGGACACCCGCCCTCCAGGCTACCGAGCCAGAGTCTTACCCACATAGACAGAGTGGATGGATAGACCTATCCGTTCTTGCGATAATACATCGATTGGACTCATGAAGACGTTGCCCGGACAGCGGCACTATTATATCGAACTCCAGCTGTCAACGTGCACGCCAATGGGTACATGGAACCTTCCGCTCAATCCGAAAGACTATACGTTATCATTTGCCAGACCCTCCAATCTGCACAACTGACAAGGGGAACCTACACCGGAAAAACACGATCAACTTCTTTTACGGCCAACTCCGGGATTATTTTCATTACATTTTGACAAATATTCTGGGGGGTTTTTTTTAAATCCTTGCTATAATATTAATAGGTAAAACATGGATGAGGTGAAACTTTCATTCAAATTACTTTATTGCTGCGAAGTTATGACTGAAGACACTTTAAAGATCGATTATCATCGTAGCAACGACATCTTGGCAACCGAGACTTAGCCTTGATTATCCATTTTATCTTTAGATTTATAAATATCGTTGTTCAAATCCGTTTAAATCACCACCAGCCGATGCTCTAGGGAGTTGGGAGGGATGGCCGAATGGTTAGTACGTGCGCGCTCTATCATAAGGTCTTTCATTGAGTCAACTGGCGTGGGTTCGATTCCCCAGTTGTATGTGACAAGGAGTAGGGTCGCCTGTCCAACCCCGTGGGTTTTCTCCGGGTCCCCCGGTTTCCTCCCCCTGTTAAAGACCCCTATGGGCAAGCGAATTATTGAAATGAAATTGAACCATGTGTTAGTCCCCAAATGACCTAGTTTGTGTCGAATGGACGTCAAACCCCATTTCTCTCTCTTTTATATGTTTTAATTATCGGGACATTATATCTGTATTGTTATTATGTGAATAATGTTGGTATGAAAAATTTAAAGGAGGCAATTCTTTAACTCAATATCATCCACAGTCTTCTTAAATTTGAAAACACGATTTATTTGTCAGTTTAAATCAACATTGATGTTGTGATCTTACCGGAAGAAGATGGTCTTCTGATATCCAATATTTAAGACAAAATAAACATTTTACCATTACTACACGAATCGTGTACCAAAATGCGTTTCAGCAGCATTTGTAAGAAGGGACTCGAAGAATGAGGCTAGACATATTCCACAAGTCAAGTCAGTCGGTGATGCCATATTCTTATCTGGAGAGCATGCGCAATAAATACTACCGGTGTAGATGGGAATAACCAGACGATAGAGATGACGTCTCTCTCTCTCTCTCTCTCTCATATGGATTATTAATTACTGTATACACGATGCAAATAATCCTCCATCCCTACCTTCTTAACCATTAAGCCACTATTTTATGGGTAACCGGGACATTGTTTTTATACTTGGCGAATCAAGAAGTCCATGCGCGTATGGGTCTTTAGCAGTGGGAGGAAACCGGAGGACCCGGAGAAAACCCACGAGTTGGACAATCGACCATACTCCTTGTCACGTTCTTTTACGTGCATGCCTATGTGTACACAGGACCTCGGTTTTCGTATATCCCGATCAACCTTCTCGGTCAACACAGGGATCGAACATTGTCTAGGGTTAGCGAACCAACGTCTTACTCACTGAGCCAGGGTCAGTGTTATAGCCAATATTTTGTTGACATGCATTGCGAGGTGGGATTGTGGATGGTGACCTATATTTGACCCCCCCCCCCCCCCCGACGACCACCACCACTACAACCAACACCATTCACAGCTTCTAGACCCGCTATTACTTGACAGTTGGAATTGGAAATAAGTGTCGGCCATAGTGCCGCTGCTGGGGCAATATTTCCCTCATAGCACACTGCATGGCGTATGCTCGTCTTCATTAGCGCAGTTAGGAGAAGAACAGTAGGACGTTAAACGTGAAATTACCACAACGTACGATTTGAGCCAGGGCATATTGTTTCATCTTAATAAAGAAAAACAACATTTTCACTTTATTTAACATAAGTCTTACATTTTCATTAAAATACATTTCTTGACATACATCAAATCTGACAACTTTATACAGAAAAAGGGAGATAACTTACATTGACCTACGATCCTATTTCCATGCAGTCCTATGTTATCACTTTACTTCAACTAGAAACACTAATATGATTTGAACAGTTTTGTGTTACTCTTTAATGAAGCTGGGCTGTTTTAGCCACCTTGGTCATATAGCCATCTGAACAGCACATAAGAATAACTGAAAGATGATTAACAATCAGATTAAAATACAGATCTACCTTCTTCTTACTTACAGAAGCATTATGGAAGATTTGATAAAGAACTGGCGGTTCTCACTATAATAATCCATATAGTCCCTATCTGAGCCTATCAACCCATATTATACCCTTTAAAGGGGCACTGTGGAAGATTAGATAAAGAGTTGGCAGTTCTCACTATAATAATTAAATAATTAAAAACTAATTAATGTAAAGGGAATTTGCTGAAAATTAAAGATACATTATGGGAAATTAGATAAGGAGTTGGTTAATGAATAGGCAATTTGCTGAAAATTTCTGTCAAATTGATCCAAACTGAACCGAGATATTAGCTTTTGATCATCATTACTAACGTCGGTACGATAAAAACATAGTCTCGATTATCCATTTCTTGATTTAATCATCAGTGAGCGTTGAGCAGCAGGTCGGATTCAAATCCCGTAATACCGAAGGGTAGTGATGCGAGAGTTGATTATGGTCTAGATAAGTTAATTAATGTCTAATTGTTATTTTATAACACATTTCAGGCCTAAAGAAAGATCTGCAATAGGCAGATTTAGCTCTTGCATAATGTATGTTTAAAGATTTACGCCCGTTTCCACCTTGGATGATTTTGCTGAAAAGTGATTCCTAAGAACGTTGCCAGAGAAGCCATAAGAAAGCTTAGACTAACATTGGTAGGAGGTCACGAGATCGACCAGGAGGCCCTTTCGATTCCGTGTCCTTAAATAAAGACAGAATGAGTTTTGCAGGTTAGCATCCATGGTAAATTTCACCCAATGGAGTTGCCCCGTGTACCAAAATACCGATATATACTTCATTTCGTCTATTATGCTTCCGATGTCCTCCGCTACATGAAGATCGGACCGGTTGTCGTAGGAGGTCGCGTTAAGGGTTATAGGAACAACCTTTGACCTATGCGCCCGTGTTCCAAGTGGCTATTGGAAAATACGTTTACTTTGTTTTTGGTTTCTACCGATATGAACTCGACACAACAGACCATTTAATTGGTTAATCCCGCACATCAACCAAAACGTGAGTTATTTAACAACTTGGCTTGCCGTGACAGCACAAAGCCCAGCTTAACCGGGGCGGGGCCCTGGGTCTGACTAGAATCGCGGGGCCCCTAACCGTAAAGCGACGAAAAGATTATTTCATATCCTTTCGAATGGCACGCATGTGCAACACACAATTAAACGGTCTGCAATACAAGAATAATTACATAATATCTGATCACATACGAAATCCAATCAGTTCCGAATGGCATACAAGACTAGATGCCTAGACCGATCACCGGGTGGAACTTCACAGAGAAGGTTGAGGGATAGCCCAGTCTCCACTTTCGCACCGCTAGATCGATTACCGTGAAACTTTCATCTGGAATTTGAATTTTTTCTCTTTTTGCCATGAACCGAGGGGCCAATTAAACTGGGCTTTGGCTAACAGACATCAATTTGATTTTAATATAAGATAATTTATTGTAAGAATTGAAAAATTGACACATTCTTTTACGAGAAACCCTTAGGCTATTCTCTACTTTAGCAACGTGATGATTTAAGAATTGTTTACATTTACTGTATAATATTTGGACTAAAGCTTAATAGTTTAAACCCTTTTCCACATTCGTGATTGGAAATGTTTTACGGTTTATAGCTACATGTCGGTTTATATATAGCTACGTGTCGGTTTATAGCTACGTGTAGGTTTATATATAGCTACGTGTCGGTTTATAGCTACATGTCGGTTTATAGCTACATGTCGGTTTATATATAGCTACGTGTCGGTTTATAGCTACGTGTCGGTTTATAGCTACATGTCGGTTTATATATAGCTACGTGTCGGTTTATAGCTACATGTCGGTTTATAGCTACATAGCTACATGTCGGTTTATAGCTACATGTCGGTTCATATATAGCTACGTGTCGGTTTATATATAGCTACGTGTCGGTTTATAGCTACATGTCGGTTTATTCGGTTTATATCTTGAACACCATATAAAGATCACCTTTTTAAGAATCGAATACTTTCGATGAAATCCAATCTGATTAAAATACAGATCTATATTTCGTTTCGTTTTTTTATACTTTCGATGGCCTACACTACATGAAGATCTGGCCGGTTGTAGTAAAAGGTCGCGTCAGAGGTCGTGCGAACGTCAGACATTGATTAATCAATCAACACTGACGTTGCTAGTGGTTTACCCACAGTTCCGTGCATCACGCACCAAGAAGTCGCCGTAACAGATGGTTTTATTGGCTAATCCCTCACGCCACCCAGAACGCATGTAATATAACAACTCTTACAGATCCTAGTGTTTAGTCACCATAGTTTAAGTAGGATATGCTATACTGTGAGATAACCTATTAACAATAGTTGGATATGCTATACTGCGAAATAACTTATTCTCAATAGTTGGACATGCTATATTACGAGAGAACTTATTAACAATAGTTTAAGTTGGATATGCTATACTTCCAGATAACTTAGCCCCAATAGTTGGACATGCTATATTGCGAGATAACTTATTATCAATAGTTTAAGTTGGATATGCTATACTGCGAGATGACGTATTAACAATATGCTATATTGCGAGATAACTTATTCTCCATAGTTGGACATGCTATACTGCGAGATAACTTATTAAGAATAGTTGGATATGCTATACTGCCAGATAACTTAGCCTCAATAGTTGGACATGCTATATTGCGAGATAACTTATTAACAATAGTTTACGCTGGATATGCTATACTGCGATATGACGGATTGACAAGCTATATTGCGAGATAACGTATTAACAATAGTAGGATATGCTATATTGCGAAATAACTTATTCTCCATAGTTGAACATGCTATACTGCGAGATAACTTATTAACAATAGTTGGATATACTCTACTGCGAGATAACTTATTCTCAATGGTTGGACATGCTATATTGCGATATAACTTATTCTCAATAGTTGGATATGCTTTACTGCGTGATAACTTATTATGCTTTCTCATTTATCGATATTAACGATTAAACGAAATCTGATGAATATTCGGATATCTCGGGCTACTTAAATACAAATTCTTATAGACTAGTTCAGCTATAGTCCTTCTGAAGATGACATTTGGCGGCAAACAAGAACTGGAACCAACAATATTAAAAAAAAATTGAGGAAACATTCAAATATATATTCGGTGTTTTCGAGCTACTTAAATACCATTTCTTATTGTCTACACAGGTCATATGGAATACAATTACTGTTTTTAACTGAGCAACGTTTCAACTAGGCTTCTCTAGTCATTATCACTCTATAACCTTGTTCAGCTATAGTCAATCTTACGATGATTTTTGGCGGCAAACAAGAACGGGAACAGATGAATGATGAACAATATAATCACTGACGCTTCCTAAAATAGTTCTCCTTAACTTTCCTAACCCTCTTGTCCCGGTCACTATCATATCAGCCTTCTCTTGCTTGGATAAATCAACGATAACCTCGCCTGGTTTGCCAGCTCCCGTGCGAAACTTTCCACTCAACTGAAGAATAACAAAATGTCACATTAACAAATATAAAAGGTTTTAACTTAAAGTTACAATTTCATATTTTCTAAGAAAGTCAAAACATAATTAATCATGTCTTTTGCTCAATAGGTTGTCAACTCACTATTATACGATCTTTCTCACACGTTAAAATCTTCACACCGGAAATAATAACACAATTACCTCCAAATTACCTCCTTTGTTTTCTATTCCCCACCATGGAATAGCTATCTTCAAACGTTTGAATTTGAAGTTGAAAATGATATTTTTGCCAATTTCTCAACTGGCAATAGTGAATTATAGGATGAATAGGATTATTCTTTAACAAGGTAGGACTGTTTATAGATACAATCTATTTATTTTAATACATTTTAAAAATATAACTTAAAAATATGAAATTGTAACTTTAAGTGTTATCAAATGTGTATAAAGCTTTGTTTTCGGATACTGCTACCTGCTATATGAAATAATTATTCATATTCTACAAACAGGAAAGACCAAATCTTCGTTCATTCACAGATATAACTTTATTATCTGTGCCTGCTTACAGGAGATTCGGAGGAAATTATCTTCCCCTATAAATAATGTACACGAGGCCTCAGATTTTCGTGCATGACTGAGAAATGGGCACCAGGGCTTACAATTCCGATGAACGTCGGGATCGTGTGGTAGCTAACGATAGCCGGTAGAGGGTAAAACCAAAATGAACGCTAGAGGAACTTGGCCATTCCAAGATGAATGCCCATACAGAACTCCTCCTTTTAGCGACCAAACTTTTCTGTGTAATTAGACTGGCCAATACGTGTGGTAGCTAACGATGGCTTGTCGAGGGGGCAACCCAAATGAGTACCAGATAAACTTGGTCATTCCAAGATGAGTTTCAAGATGGAATCCCATAAAGAACACAATCTGATTAAATCACAGATCCTATTTCGTTTCGTTTATTTATACTTCAAAATTTCGTTTTACTTGTATTTACTACACTAGGATCTGGAAAAGTTGTTATATAACCCGCGTTCTGGATACTGTGAGGGATTAGCGAAAGAAACGGCGAGTTTTTGGCGTGAGGTGCACGGAACTGTGGTTAACCCACTAAAAATATCAACGCTGATTGATTAATCAAATGTCTGCCGTCATAGGTTCAAAAGCAGCGCGTATGACCTCTGACGCGACCTTCTACTACAACCGTTCAGGTCTTCATGGGTTAGTGCTAAATGATAAGGCCAGCTCAATTTTTCGTCATAGGTCCTAGCCCCAATGCTTACCCTAACCCTTACCTACAATCTCGCCAACAATCACGTGCGTAACCTTATTTACATCTCAACGAACTTGACAAACATTGAACCGGCCTTAACAAATAGATTTAGTCAAGGCCATGTAGCAGAGGCCATCGAAAGTATACAAAAACGAAACGAAATATAGATCTGTATTTTAAGAACTCACCCTTTTAGCTACCAGTTTTTCTTTATATTTCTTTTCGATGTTATTGACTCGTTCTTCTAATTCCCTCATCATCTGTTCCAGCACAGATGGACCTTTAAATTAACATTTAGAACAAAACATCATTAGTTCAAATAACCAAGATGAAATGAAATCTGAGTTAACGTTCTACTGCACCGACTGGGTTAATTCCCTCATCATTTGTTCCCAGGTTGTACGTGACAAGAACTCGTGGGTTTTCTCCGGGTCCTCCAGTTTCCTCCCACTGCTAAAGACCCCTACGCGCAAGCGAATTATTGAAATAAAATTAAACCATATGTTAGTCCCGAAATGACCTAGTTTGTGTCGATTGAACGTTAAACCCCATTTCTCTCTCTCCCTCTCTCTCTCCCTCTCTCTCTCTCACTCTCTCATCATCCGTTCCAGCACGGATGGACCTTAAGATTAATATTTAGAACAAAACATCATTAGTTCAAATGAGCAAAATGAAATGAAATCGGGGTTAACGTTCTACTGTTCTGCACTGAGTGAGCTATTGCAGACGGGCATATAAGGGCAATTCAATATAAGAGTAGGTCGTGGTGCCGCTTTCCAGACAAAATTTCCGTCAAAGTATACTCGTCTTCCCTGGCACAGTCGGAGCAGAATAGCAGTATGTTAAAAGCCATTTAATTTCATTTCATTTATTGACAGCTGGAATTCGATATAAGAGTAGGTCGTAGAGCCGCTGTTCAGGCGAAATTTCCGTCATAGCACACCGTATGGCGTATACACGTCTTCACTGGCACAGTCGGGGCATAACAGTAGGACATTAAACCACATTTAATGTCTCATTTTATTTACTAATTATTCTGTATAAATGAAAATGACTCGTGTGTAGAGATGGGGAGCGGAAGTAGGGATGAAAGATGAAAACTGAATCTAAGAGTAGATTATGTCAGCGGCTGTTCCTAAAACTAAACAGAGAGAGAGAGAGAGAGAAATGGGGTTTAACGTCCACTCGACACAAACTAGGTCATTTCGGGACTAACATATGGTTCAATTTTATTTCTATAATTCGCTTGCGTGTAGGGGTCTTTAGCAGTGGGAGGAAACCGGAGGACCCGGAGAAAACCCACGAGGTTGGACAGGCGACCCTACTCCTTGTCACGTACAACCGGAGATTCGAAACCACGCCAGTTGACTCAATGACAGACTTAATGATACAGCGCGCACGTGCTAACCACTAAGCCATCCAACCCCCCTAAAACTAAACAGACCAGCCCACATCGAAATAATTTATATATGAAGATACTTACTAGCCATGGTGAAATCATATGATTCTGGTACGTGTATGAATACAAGATAGTCGCCATCTTTCATCACGTGTTCACAATACCCTGTAATAAAAAGAATACATATTATAAAAAAAATGAAATTAAATGAAATGTGGCTTAACGTCCTATTTTTGTGCTCCGACTTAGCTAATGAAGACGGGCTTACGCCATGCAATGTACTATAAGGAAATTTGTTCCCGGACACCGGCGCTATGTCCTACTCTTATTTAGAATTTCAACTGCCAAGGCAAATGTCATACATTGTGCTACGAGGGAAATTTTGCCCGGATAGCAGCGCTACTGTCTACTCTTATATCGAATTCCAACTGACAAGGGATTTTTAATGTACACGCCAATATGTACAGGGACCTCGGTTTTTCCATATTTTATAAAGAAAGTGCTGAATTCATTGTCCAAATAACAACAGGTTCATATTAGATTTTTAACACAGCAGTATGAATATGTATAGCTCTATTATCTTAAGTCACGAACACCCAATGCAAATGTGTCTGCAAGGCAAGCCTCATTGCTTACGTTCACAACAATATGGCGACTTGTTGGTTGCAACAAGATGAAAGTTACTTTGCTTCGATAATTTCCTTTGTGTATATCATTATTTTTGATTGGTCTATAAAAAATAGCATAGGTATGAAGGGCAGGGTTTAGGGGAGTGGAACGGAATGAGACCAATAGGGATATCGTTGATGATTTAGTCCTCGGACAGTCACATTCTCAGTTCATTTTAAAACACAACTGTGACGAAGGAAATGAAATGAAATGAAATGAAATGGAGTTTAACGTCCTACTGTTCTGCTCCTAACCTGGGCTAATGAAGACGGGCATACGCCATACAGTGTGCTATGAGGGAAATTTTGCCCGGACAGCGGCACTACGGCCTACTCTTATATCGAATTCCAACTGCCAAGGGATCTTTTACGTGCACGCCAATGTGTACACGGGACCTCGGTTTTCCGTCCATCCGAACGACTAGACAGCTTTCCTTGTCCTGCATCACTGACAAGGGAGAACCACGCCGGAAAATCTGGATGAACTTTCTCGGCTAATGCAGGGATCGAACACCCGACCTCCAGGCTAGCGAGCTAGCGTCTTACCCACTTAGCCACGTGATCCCCCTGTGACGAAGGACGCTACTACCTATTCTTGTTGGTGCACAATCTGATTAAAATACAGATCTATATTTCGTTTCGTTTTTTTTATACTTTCGATGGCCTCTACTACATGAAGATCTTGACAGTTGTAGTGGAGGTCGTGCCCGGGACCATACGAGCGGCTTTCGACCCTATGGCGTCAGACATTTGATTAACCAATCTGCGTTGATGTTTCTAGTAGGATACCCACAGTACCCAAGAATTCGCCGTAACAGATGGTTTCATTGACTAATCCCTCACGCCATCCAGAACGCAGGTTACATAACAACTCTTCCAGATCCTAGTGTAGTAAAGACAAGTAAAACTAAATTCTAAACTATAAAAAACGAAACGAAATAGGATCTGTGTTTTAATCAGAGTGTGTAATTGTCAAATAAGAATCATAATTTGAAACCGAATTAATTGTGGTTTAAAAAAATACATAGGCTAACAGAGAGCTATTTAGGTCGGACTGTTATCATATTATAACAGTATACTTCAATGTGGCATCAATCCACAATTATATTACAAATTTTACTTGGCAATATATTCCTTGACCTGTTACATAATTGGAGATTACGTAGAAAAATGTCAATTAACACCCTCGATACATAAAAGTGATTAAAACATCCTTATCATATTGTGACCCACAGATGGATGACATTTTCACTGGCGGGACACGACCAACGGCCACGTGAAATTCATTAGTTACTACCCCTGGCCTGAGTTACAATGCAAAATAGCCAGCTGCATAATCTCTTCGATCATCCTTTGTCTAGAAGGGGCATTATAAGCAGAAATCCAAAGGAGATTATTCAGTCAAGGCGAGGGCGTCTGTGTTAAGACCGGAGAGCGGTCATGTACGTTAATTTGGAGTTGACACCAGGTGCCAAGCCAAGCTAGGGCCACAGCTCCCTCAACACAAGCTATGATTACGGAGTCTTTAAATACAAGAAGTTTTGTACTTGATATATTCGAAGAACAATAAAAGAATCAGATGAAGTTACACCAGTGTTGTCGTCATAAAGAGACGGGGTTTAACGTCTACTCGACACAAACTCGGTCATTTTTGGACTAACATATGGTTTAATTTTATTTCAAAAATTCGCTTGCGCGTAGGGTTCTTTAGCAGTCGAGGGGATCCGGAGGACCCGGAGAAAACCCACGAGGCTAGACAGGCGACCCTACTTCTTGTCACGTACAACCGGGGATTCGAAACCACGCCAGTTGACTTTATGATACAGCGTACACGTGCTACCCATTCAGCCGTCCAAGCCCCCTATAGGAGAAGGCCGTTGAAGATCACAGCCCATTGATTCATACTGAACTGTGATGCACAGAAGTAAATTCTATTTCATGTTCCTGAAGCAATGACTGCGAGTTTTACAACATCCAACCCCCCTCGCCATAAAGAACCAACACCGCAACAGACCTTACGAGCTCATAACATTGGAATACACGGCATGTTCGCGTGGGTTTAAGCCATCAGCTGCAACGGTATTTTCAATGACGAAATGTGTGCAACTGCGTGCGTCTTGTCAGGTTTAACATTCATGGGCATACTAAAATCCAATAACATTAATGGAAGTTTGTAGTCTTTATCCAAATAGAGTGTAAATTTGATTCCTGTCAATTCCAAAGAATTTCTAAAATACATTAGAAGAAGATACCATTTCATATTGATTTTTTAGATAAGAGATTACCTTTTATCACATCAATGCTAAAGCAAGAACGTGTGTGTGGGTTTTAAAATATTATATTTGTCAGTGTTTGAGAGAGAGACACACACACACACAAACTAGGTCATTTCGGGACTAACATATGGTTCAATTTTATTTCAATAATTCGCTTGCACGTAGGGAGTCTTTAGCAGTGGGAGGAAACCGGAGGACCCGGAGAAAACCCACGAGGTTGGACAGGCGACCCTACTCCTTGCCACGTACAACCGGGGATTCGAAACCACACCAGTTGAATCAATGACAGACCTTATGACACAGCGCGCACGCGCTAACCTCAAGAGAGAGAGAGAGAGAGAGAGAGAGAAAGAGATGGATCTTTAACAGTGGGGGGCAAACTAGAGGTTCGACAGGTGTCCCCACTCCTTGTCATCATGTACATGTTTGGGATTAAAACTACACCGCTTACACCTCAATGACAGACCTAATGGTCTAAAGCCCATGTTATACACCATTTACCCCCCACCCAAGAGTTATAAAGAAGAAACATTGAATGTCTTGTGCCAGATGAGTGTTTCAAGAAGGTGATCGATCAAACCAAATTTAAATATCGGAATTCCACTTTAGCAGACCGCAATTTTTCAATTTTTATCAAACATAAAATTTCCTAACTCAGTCCAACTTAAACAAAATTCAACAAAGCAAATTGATTTAGCATGGAAATTTCGAAGATGTCAATTTTTCTCAAACATAAAATTTCCTAACTTTGTTCCACTTAGTCAAAATTCTAAAAAAACGTATTGATTTCCTTGTGTGTACACTGATAACTGTGTGAGATGGGATGTGAAGTCAATTTAAAGCTGAGTGTCTGTATGTCAACACTTAGATCGGTAGACACCATGATAGAGTGCTTTACGCATTCTGTGATTTGTGTCACTCCGACATTCCAGATAGAAGGTTAAACAGTTTATTTCTTAAAAATCACGAGCGCTAGGAAACTTCATATTTGCGGACGTGTGTATCTGTAGTGGAAACTCTACCGGTGTCAATCGCTCCAGTCCAGTTTGTCGCCACTGTGACGCGTACGAATATATTGGCCAGGTTGTTACCCATGAATACATTTTTGTTGTCCAGATGAATATTCGATGTATTCAAACTGGAGATATGTTGGACTGAAGCAACCGAGACTAAACTTTACGCACACGGCTTAATATTCTTGAAGATAGGGGCGCCTTCTCGACCTCGTGGGTTTACTCCTGACCCCGAGTTCACAAAGCAAAGTTAAGAATTTACTCAAAATTGTTTGCCTTATTTTAACTAAAATATAGCCCTTTATAAAACTTTAGTTGTTTTAATGTATCAAATACATCAATAAGAAACTATGTGCAAATTTTTGTGTTACTAAATTAAGAGTACTTGTTGCTTCGTTGAGGTCTTGACATAAAAGTAGGGTGCAAGCGTATACCGGAAGTTGTCATCACGTGGTTTACCACAAAATTACAGTAATTGAAGAGAGGGGTTGGGTGGTCGATGGTTAGATCATAAGCTCTGTCATTGAGTCAACTGGCGTGGTTTCGAATCCTCGCTTGTACGTGCCATGGAAAAGAGTCACCTGTCTAACATCGTGGATTTTCTCCCGGTCCTCTGATTTCCTTCCACTGCTAAAGACCCCGACGCTCAAGCGAATTATTACAATAAAATTGATTATAAACCTGTAACGGTAAATCTCTTTGATCTTTGGGGTATATTCTATGCCCGGAATAACTTGCGGTCTGAAAGACTTCAGAGAAAAACCTCGACGGAAAAACCTCGGCCTACCGGCCTCGATTTTTCGTTTTCTCAGGTTATTTTCTTCAGTCTTTCTTTCCCCAGCATAACCTCGGTCTCGTGCTTTATCCTACACATAATACGTTAGTAACGAAATATCCAACTCTCTCTCTCTCTCTCTCTCTCTCCCTACTAATGCTTCGCAATATTCAATAAATAAACACTTCTACATTTATTGCATGCCAATTATACGATCTGAACATCAAATGGACATTTAGCGCACTGCAGGCCAATCTGGCATCCCTTATAATACAAACACCAAACCCACATAAAAATAAATCATTGTCAATCCGTCTAGTTTGCCGATCAGGAAAGATCAGTCAATCGATTTGTTTTAATCTAAAACGACGACTTGGATCTTGCACAAAGATTTTCTCTCGGTTTGTGTGATTGATCGATGTTAAACGACCAG